GTTCCCTCAGGAGTAGTTGCACCGCAGATGATGCTCCGTAGTTGATGTGAATTGCACTACTGGCTTCAAGTAGGTATAACTTATAAAATATGTGAGCCTAATTGGGACCAGAAAGTGTCTGAAACTCTCTTAGTTTTAAGGTGATTGGGTCATGCTTAGAGGTCTGTAAAGAACAAAAATTATGCCTGGCTTATCTGAAGTTTGGTGGTCTCTGCATTGGTGCTTAAGAAATCTTTGGCTTCATTGGGAAGATTGTTTCTTGTGCTCCTGAGTGTCGCGACTTTACCCATGTTAATGAGCAGAACTTGTAGACCCTCGCTGAGTAGTTTGTGCTGAGGAATAATCCTGACACTACTGGAATAGAGGAGAGAACCGACAGTATTCCTAGTAACCATCTTTAAGGTAATGGAGTCTGACTTCTGTCTTCAGCAAATAGTAAGCTCTTTGTTGATCCAAGAGCTGCAATAGGAAGGTAAGAGAGTTGCAGTGGGGAGGAACTTGAAACAGGCTGCAGCTGTTAGCTTGTTTTGTGTGTTTTTATTATGTATAAGGTAAAGGCTCTGAGCACTGGGTTCCAGGTGTCCTCCTCCTGCAGGGTTTTGGAGCAGCTGTGAACAGAAGTGTGTAACTTGGGCCCAGTAAAACTGTTTCAAAGAACTGAATTTGTAAATGATGCAACTTTCTCTGTTTCTCAATGGGGCTCTTGTGATGCGCTGACAGTGAGGTTGGTTTCCTGGTTTGTTTTAGTTACGGCTGCTATTGAGGCCCTGCTGTAGGAAGCCAGGGAGCCTTGTTCTTTATGAAGCTGGTAGAACAGCTGTAGCTCTATCCATCACTGGGATAAATAGGAGTCCAGTAGAAGAGCCAAAAGCTTTCTTCCTTTATCTAACTGGCAAACATAACCAGCATCCTTCCTTATAAGCCTATCATTGAGTCTTGGTAAGTTAAGTAGAAGATTTCTGAGAAGGAGAGATGTTCTTGCCTACATTTTTTCGTGGGGTTAATATTTTGCCCTGCACAGAAAAAAATACATAAGTCCGATTGTTGAAAACAGAATACATCAAAGACCAGTTGTTCAAGAAGGCTTCACCAAACACTGGTTTGTTTTCCTGCCACCATTATCCCAGCCTGATAGCTGGCTGCAGCCTTGGTGGGTCCAGAGCGTGCTCTTAGTAGTGTCAACGTGCCTTTGATGCAAGATGGCCACCAGGAATGCTGAGTGTAAATAACTTCAGGTTTGCTTATAACTGGTTCCTTTGAGAGCTATGGCCCAGTTTGTATTGAAGAAGGTGCCATTCCTTTGAGCATTTGTTTACTTATTTATTGAGGTCAGCAAAGTGAAGAGTGATTACAGGATTTAGACTAACAACAGGCATCTGATGTATGAGAGCTCCAGAGTGTGAAATTGAAAAGCTAAGTGGCTTCATGCTATTGTTTGCTTGATAAAAAGTCCTGATATATGGATGACTCTTGAAGATTTTTTTTTTCTTCATCATAGCCATTTAAATTTTATTTAAGGGAGGCTTTGCTTAATGTTCTGACCATAGGAGCTAGTCCAACAGTTTACAAGAGCAAGTCTTGACAACACAAATCTGGTATGAATTGCAGGAGATGCTGCTTAACTTTTTTAGAAAAAAGTCACGAGACTAGTATTATGGCAAGTGACTTTGTATCAGCGTAGTGGATTTTGAATAAGCTGTGATAAACATCTTTAATTTTCAGAGGCTTTGTATGAGTTGGTATTCCAGGTGTTTGTATAGGTATTAACTTTGAAAGTCAGCCTCAGTTTTCAGAGCTGTCTTTGTCTTAAACTCAGAAATACGCTCTGTTGAGCAGATTTGATTTGGGTGACACCAAACCTTCCAGGTAAAATAGTGCTGGCCACCACTCTTGCCTGTGATGACAACAGGGGGAAACTTTCTGAAACAAAGGCTCAGCGAAATTGTACAGAACAGTACAACTGATTGGTGTGTAGTTGAAAGGAGATATGTTGTAACTGAAAATAAAGTTGGTGCTGTACAATTCCAGGTCCTGTTGGCAGCAAACACTAACGGCTGGAGATCTGCATGCTAATGAACCTATGAAAGATAGGGAGAAAACAGCCATGGTGCTCTTGCCAAAGTGCTAATTCTTACCTTGGTTATGAAGATCAAGTATCTTGTTCAGATTTAAAAATCAGTTTCTCTTATGCTTACGGTAAAAGGTTGAAGAATGTGGTCATAACTAGTCAATTAAAACAGCATTCTTTAGTGCTTCCCTGGCTTTATGCTAAGACCCAGGAAATGCTCTCTGCTTGCAGAGAGGCCAGCAGTGCAGGAACAGCATTCATCAGTCTTTGTTAGTGCAGCGAGCTGCCTTGATGAACAGTTCATTAACCAGGAGAAGCAGAATCAGTCTTTTAATACACTTGCTATAGCAGTTAGGCCCTGACAGCGAGCAGAAAAACTCAGCTCTCTGACTAGCCTCCTAAAACCTTGCTGCTGGTCTGAAACTAATCTTTCATCTTTCGCCCTCCTTCTACAGGCCTTTGGGTAGCAGCATTCATTAAAATGCTTCTCTAAGCTGTCATCTAAGAGTAGTGTGTCTGTAGGATCTCATTGGTTTTGAGCAGATTGTTCAAACATAACAAATGGGACAATAACATAAACACTTAAGAAGAAACGTGTTCTAACTCTTCTAGGCATCTCTTAAGATTCACCGTGGTATTAATTGTTTCATTGTAAAATGAATAAGATTGAGGTAACAGTTAAAACAAATAACCGGAGGCATCTGGCAGCGCGTGGATCCCTGGCAGGCCGTGTGTCCATTGGAATGGGGCAGACGTGTTTCCAGCAGTTCAGGCACGCTCGTCGGTAGCTTCAGAGGGCTAAAATTCACTACAAACAAATCAAAGTGTGTGGGGTTTTTTCCCCGGGGGTGTTGGGAAGGGAGGAGGGAATAGGCCAGATGAATCCGTACTGGCTGTAGCTGCATATTTAAGAGCTCGGTTTCCGGCAGGAGTAAAACCTGGACTTGCAGGATCCACCTTAGGACTCAGAGTGGATTTACGCTGCAGCAAGCACAGGAGGATCATTTGTTACTCTCCTCCTTCCATCCCCCTTCCCTGCTTCCATTAGCAAAAGATTAGTTTGGGGCAGGGGGGAGTTATTTCAGCCAAACATTTGAAGCTTCCTGTAAAGCAGCCAGTAGTTGAGGCTTTGGTGCTCTCGTCTAGAGCCTGATCTCTTGTTCATCCAAGTCCTCCAGGAAATGAGAAACATAAGCTGCAGGTATGTTTGAGCATATATGCAGAGCACTGCATTTCTGGAGCGCCTGGAACACAGAGGACTCTGAAACTCTGCACTCCTCAAAATGGCTGCCAGATGTGTTGGCTCTACTGAATTCCCCGGAGCCTGACACCAGAAATGCTGAGGTTATTACCACTTTGGTTCTTGCTGTGTTCTTCCTTCAGTCTTCCAGGCACAGTGTTGCAAGACCGAGTGTGACCCTGGGTGGCTGCAGTACCTGCAGAGGCTTTCTGTTGGCATACTGGTGTGCTCGGGGCAAGGCTCACTGGGACTCTGTTTAAACACAGGAAGCATGTTTGTTTTTACAGCTCAGGCTTGGGAGCCTGGGCTGGAATCCTGTGCCATTTCCCCGTGCTAGGAGCAAGATTCTCGAGGAAGACAGCCTCTCCCTTTGCTGCAAAGCACAGCTCTTACTGGCCAACAAATCTGCATCTTGCCCTCTCTGGCTTGCCACTGCCAGAGAGTTCTTACAGCTTAACTTGGATTTGTTTTGATATTTGTAGGTGCAATAAACAGTATAGAGACTCGTGAAGTGAACACAGTCTGGCTGCCCATGCTCGCGTGGCTTCTTGGGCCGGTCTTCTAAGCTCCTTGCTAGTGTGGCTGCACTGCTGCTTGGTCACCTTGTAACCCAGTCAGTCCCCGCTGGATCCCTTGTAATCCGTTTCCCGGTCAGTGGGAAATGGAGCTTCCAGGTCCTGCAATAGCATGTCTACCTGTTGAGTGTTCAGCACAAGAGAGTAGACTCGCTATGGAGCTGTCTCTAGCATCAGTACGCAGAACTTTTAAAAGCGTATCTTAAAGCCATGCTGTGTGGTAACTGGCTGTTTATCTGACAGCATGTATGCTTTTCCTGCAACAGTCAGCAGTTTGCTAAAATAACAAATCTTAATGATAAAAAGGTGTTGGAAAGTACTTGAGCTAGTAGTAGGGTCTGTAAGGAAAGTGTATCATCTAACATATGCTGCTCTGCGTTTAACTGAGGAAGAATGTTTCTCAAAATAGTCCTCCTTATCCCTTCATCTAATTTGCTTTGGTTTATTTCTAGCATCAAAATGAGAATGTGATTTCGATGTGATACAGCTTTTATAGTAAGTGCAGATCCATGTGAGTAGGATGTATCTTGTGCTTCATAGCCAAGGCAAGCTGTATACGGTGACACTTTTAAGAGTATTTGGGTTTTCTTAAGATAGAAAGTGGTTTCCACCATTAAGTAAGTGTGCCCAGGGATGGAGTACATGGGAAGCAGTGGGCAGACTTCATAGTAGCTTGTTCAGTTGGCCTCAAACTGCAAATTCAAAGGATGGAAATGCCTAGATATGTGACTGTGCTTGCTGCATGGGAATCTGTGTGATCTTACATGGAGTGATTAAGTTATTTAAGGAGGCGTTGGTGCTGGGGGGAGGTATACAAGTTGCACACAAGTGAATCTTCCATTTATCTTTGCTATTCAATTCTAAGACTGTCCTCTGAAACCATGGAGCATGCTGCATTGTGGAGATGAGATGGGTGTCATGGAAGACTAGCATCTTAGAGGTGTCTTGCTACGTGGATGTATGGGGGAGCAAAACTGGGGAGCACCACCGTAAAGAATAAGAGGAAGTGCCTGGAAGTGGAACTTGCACAGCTACCCTGACTCGGGCTGCATGTATCTGAGAAGAGGCATTCCAGAAATAACAGTAAAGCGTTGCTTTGTATTTCTCTTGTAGCAACCCTCCGCTCAGTGAGGAGATGCTGCCTCCGGGGGAGTGGATGTGTCACCGCTGCACTGTACGCCGCAAGGTAAAGCCTCTCGTAACAGACATGATCCCTGCCCTGCCGACTGTCCATTTGAAATGTGAACCCTGTGTTTTATACCTTCCTCTCCCCTTAATGTGTACGTATATACCACCAGAGTTGCTCTTTGTGCTCACGGTTGCGAAGGGCTTTGTTAGGAACAGGCTTAAAGAAAATGAAGGGGTCTTGGTGAGACCCTCCTGATATTTTTAACCTTGCTACTAGGAACCAAAACTGAAGTGCCTGATAAGTTCTTGTCAAGCTGTGCCTTTTAAACTGTTTGCCCCACCCCTTCTGGAAAGGAGGGAGAGCTGAGGCAGAGGGAATGGGAGCCATGCTTGAGGAAGTGAGCTGTCTACAGGTGAAACAGGAGTCAGGTTAATGCAGCTTTGGCATCAGGGCTGTGATTCTGGTTAATCTGTGTTTTTTAGAAGTGTGGCTTCACAGCAGTTGCACATCAGCAGAGGGTGATGTTATGATTTCCTGGGCTGTTGAACAGGATGGGGAGGAGATGATTGGGCAAGATTGTGGCTTGTCTTTGTTTTTTTTCCTTGATGCTCTTTCTCCAGGAAGCTATCTTGCACAATGTAAACATCTTACTGCTGTGACTACGTAAGACCGCGTAGCAGAGGGTTTAGAAACTGCACCAAACTATCTAGCAACTGTTCCCTTGAAGTGACACCCAAAACAGATTGGAAGAAAACTGTGTACTCAGCCTTTTGTTCCTGAAGCAATTGCCTTGTCATGTTTCCAGGGTACTGTTCAGCCATCTGCCAACAGTAAAAATGAAGGTTGCCAATTTAAAAAATAATAATAAAATAAATAAAAAAGAGAGAGAGAAAGAAAAGGAAAAAAGTCCCCAACTTTTCTGTATTAAAAATTGTCTGATAACACTCTGTTCCTTTTACAGACCATTTTAGTGATCAAGTAGGTTGGTTCATCCATATTGGTGATGCTGTCAGGCACTGGAGCAGTGCACAGGTGCCCATACTAAGCCATGCAGCATCCCCTTCTGTTACAAAATGGATCTCGTGGTGATTGCAAAGTATTGTTTTCCTCTGCTGCGGTTCTCCCTGCCCACCTTGTTCAAGATTCCTGTCGTCAAGAGATAGGAGAGTGTTGTTTGTATATTGTGCTTGTATTCTCAAGCTGACCTTCTTGTTCCATAATGGGTTTGGATGCACTGCCAGGGTTAATAGACTGCATCGACAATGAACAGTCTACTGTGGAGTTTCTCAGTGTTGGCTAGCAAAGTAAACAGAGTTGTCTGATTCGTCAGGTGTTTAGGACTAGATGCTGTGAAATGTTGTCCTGATCTGGACTCAAATACGGCTATCCTGAAAGGGGAGAGACATGCTAATTTCCTTCCCCATGCTTGGTTCCCTTCAGCTGTTGTCATCTGTATGTTAGCTGCAATCAAATTGGTTTTGCTAGGTCAAGGCTTTAATGACTTTACAGGGGAAGTTGTAGTGGCTCAAGCCTTTTCAGATGCTGTTTGTCTTCGATTGCATATTTGTCAAGGTTGATGTGCTTTGTTTGTGGCCTCCATGATAAGCCTGCCTATTCATGTCGTGCAGAAGCGAGAACAGAAGAAAGAGCTGGGGCAGGTAAATGGATTGGTGGACAAATCTGGGAAAAGGACCACCTCCCCCACCAGTGACGCAGACCTGTTGGACAGGTCTAGCAGCAGCATCAGGGCTAATGCGCATGCCAGGATCTTGGAAAGGAGAGCAAGCCGGCCTGGCACTCCCACATCCAATGCCAGCACCGAGACCCCCAACTCAGAGCAGAATGATGTCGATGAGGACATAATTGACGTGGATGATGACTCTGCCATTGCAGAAATGGACTGTGGGCAGCCCCAGCTGAAGCGACCCTTTGAGCTTCTTATTGCTGCTGCCATGGAAAGGAACCCAACGCAGTTCCAGTTGCCGAATGAACTGACCTGCACCACAGCACTTCCAGGTGAGCAATGGCTTGTCTAGTGTTGGTGAAGATGTCTGCAGTTGCATCCTGCTGCCATCTTGCCTCTTTTCCCTCTTGACTCCTTGCTAGCTGTGGCTCCAGTGATGCTCACTGGTGAAAGCAGAGGGTACAGAAGTACCCCTGGTCGTCCTCCAGCTGTCCAACAGCAGGTGGCCTTTCAGATGTGAGCTGTGGGGACACTGCTGCTACAAACTACACCTCCATCAGCACTTGTGATAGATGCTTGCTGTTGTCACCTTAGTCTAGGTCATCAGTTTGAAGAAAAGAATTCCAATTGTCAAAATACTTGATTTTGATTTATGATATGATAATCTAGTAACAAATAATGACTTAATGTATAGGATGTAACTGAAATTATTAAGTGTAAAATATGTCTGTCTTTAAAGCCAACCTCTGTCACTTAAGGCTAGATTTAGTGGTTGATAAGGGTTCCTTAAGCAGCTCTCTTTGCCTTTTCTGTTTGCCTCTGCCTGAGATGATTATGTGTATCTACCAGAAAGCAAACTCTGCTATGTGGGTAACCCAAAGCCTTTTAAAATTTGCTTTCAGGTACTAGTAAGAGGAGGAGAAAGGAAGAAACCACAGGAAAGAACGTGAAGAAAGCACAACACGAGTTAGACCACAATGGTTTGGTTCCCTTGCCGGTGAAAGTCTGCTTCACATGCAACAGGTACTTGACTTCCAGGGAGGCTCTTCAGTGTAGCTGCACCCTTCACAGGAGCAAAGTTCTTGCTGAAAAAAGTAGACGACCTTTTTCCTTTCCCATTCTCCTTCATTGACTTGCTTACAATCCTCTAAACAAATGGGGGAATAATCATCTTTGCTAAATAACAGATGTTTAACCATGGCAAGTGTAGGTGTGGCTTCTGCAGCCTTGCATGGCTGTAAAGGGTTTTAAAACGTAGCCTGAAGAGAGTGAGCCATCTTGTCCTCAGTATTTTTCTACTAAGAAAAATTCTAAAGTGGTGGTGGTTTAGAAAATGGAGATATTTGTTTATGGTTCATGAAGGAAGTATGCGAGGAGGTGACCTTTAGGAAATAGAAATCTACCGAGAGAGATATAAGCCCAAGACAAATAGGAATGTTGTGCTGAAATAGTAAATCTGAAAACCAGTACAAAATACTGCTGTTTTTTATAACTGCATAAAAATATTCACATATAAATCCCAATTCAAAATGTCAGTGAAAATGAAAAACTTTATTTCAGGAACGCAGTCAGTGAGTTTCTGGAGGTGGGCTGGAGATTCAGGTGGGCTTTTGTGGAGAACAGCTGATGACTTTGTTGTAGAGTGAAGACGTCTTTAAAGCCTGGGGAATCAGATGTAGGTAGCTTTCTGGAGTTTGAGACTTGTTCTGAGAACATCTTGTTGAAGTAAATGTCCCAACTTCACACATGATACATCAGAGGAAAATTGTAATAACCTAAATCTGAGATTCCCTTATGATTTTTGAATTTTGCTCTAAATGAAGCCACTCGGAACTAACGCACAAGGTCAACTTGAAAAGTTCCTTATGGGAGTCTGACAGGTGCTTACAGCTTTCCAGCAATGGCATCTCCTCCTGCCAGAGGACCTCTTCTGTACCAAGAAACCCTCATGTGCCTAGGCAAGTCCTTTTGCCTTGAGCGGGTCTTGCAGAAGGTCCATATAGATCAAGTTACAAATTGGAAGCCTAATTTTGGATGCAAGTAACATAGTGCAGGGGAATTGGTGGGGAAAGATAAGCTAAAGTGGTTAGCTGAGCTTGCCTGCGTGTTCAGTATATATTCTGTATGGGAAATAAGATATGGTGCTTTCTTTGCAGGAGTTGCAGAGTGGCACCTCTAATTCAGTGTGATTATTGCCCACTCCTGTTCCACATGGATTGTCTGGAGCCACCGCTTACTGCCATGCCTCTGGGTAGATGGATGTGCCCAAATCACATAGAACATGTGGTGGTAAGCAGGACTATGATTGCAGTATGGTAACCGGATGCTGGAGTGGAACCTGGCAGGTCCATTAAAGGACAAAGTACAACAAATGTAAAACAGCTTCTGAGCTCTTATTGCTCCCTGTAACGCTTGTAAAGCTCCTGCTGCAAGCAACGCACTCTCCAAAGGAATATGCTGCTGCTATCTGCAATAAAATATAAAGATGGGGGAACTCCTTCCTGTAACTGAAGCTGACAGCTCAAATTGTGGCTTACTGACAGCTTGTCTAGTTTTCGGACTGGACTCCTTAAGATCTAGATGAGCTTCCAGAACTGTGATACAAAGCAGCACAGTGCTACAAATAGGGGAAGTAATTCTTTGCATGCTTAACCCAAAAAACTTTCATTCCAAGAGGGAGTTTTCATTTGTGGAAAAGCAGTGTACTTGAGACTAAATACTCAGGAAACAGGGGGCTGAAACAAAGGGCTTGTGCCCAGACAAACTGCTTCTGAGAGCATTGATGCTGCTTAGTAGGCCTCTAAATGCTTTTGTATTCATCTCCAGCAATGTGCCCTTTAACAGAAGTGGTTAGTGCTGCAGGAAACGAATAGTCTAAAGCTGAGCTGATGCTGTACTGCCAGTGCTACGAGGCGTTATGAAAGTCTTAGGGTACATTAGAGTGACCCGCAGATCCCTAACTCCTGTGGCATTATCTGATCACCCAGCTGAACCAGAAGAACTTGACCCTGAGTAATCGGTGCCGAGTATTTGACCGGTTCCAGGACACCATATCTCAGCACGTTGTCAAAGTGGATTTCTTAAACCGAATCCATAAGAAACATCCTCCGAATCGCAGAGTTCTTCAATCAGTAAAGAGAAAAGGTTTGAAGGTATGTGTAAACAAGTAGGTGTTGGTGAAACTCCCTGTATATGTATTCTAGTTTGGAAGGGAAACCAGCATGTCCCATAGGGATAACCTTTTGGGGCAGGAGGAAGAGGGTGGGGTCTGAATGAATGTGTTGGTGAGAGGTCTGGAAGTCAGCAGTTACTTTTCACTACATGTATGATTTAAGAAGCTTTTTTCCTGCCAACCATAAGGCTCAGCTATTACAAGTAAGCCTTTAAATCTGGCACAAGCATAGAAAGTACAACACAAAACCTCTTGAAGGTGGCCCTGTGTTCAGAATTGGGGCTGCTGCATGTTCTGTGTTAAAACGCAAAGAGTATTTGCTGCTGGAATGGCTGAAAAATGCCATACAGCTTTCCCTTCTTACTTGGCCTTTTTTGCATGACTTCTTTCATGCTGTAGCCACCACATTGTGCTGAAGTCATGCCTGACCTAAGGGAATAAAACCTATTAATTTCAGCCTAGCTGCATCAATTTAAAGCACTCAGTCCTTGAAACTTCTAATGTATTGTCTGCAGGGTTCCTTTGGGTCAGAAAGCAGCAAACACGAAGTGTAGTGCTGGTTAGGCACCTTGTTTAACTAGTCATTCTTGAGTAATTGTTCTCATGTGTGATCTTCTTTCTCTACAATGTAGGTTCCTGATGCTATAAAGTCCCAATATCGGCTTCCACCCCCGTTACTTGCGCCTGCAGCAATTAGAGATGGCGAGCTGATCTGTAACGGGATCCCTGAGGAACCCTTGCAGAAGCACCTTTTGAACACTGAGCACTTAGCCAGCCAGACAGAACAACAGGAGGTAAATGAAGTCAAATGCTTGGACTGTATGTCTGTAGTTGCTTTGGTACAAAAATCTCTTCCATTTCAGTCATGATCAGAGCAGTTGTCTAGGAAACCAGTCTCAAAATCATGTCTGAAGGTGATAGCTTGTCTTGTCTCTGACACCCTTGCCCATTAAAACTTCATTCTGGCTTTCCAGGTGAAATGTAAAACTCCTCATTTGATACTTCAGGCAAGTGGTGAAATAGGCTTCTGGCCTTAAGAGTGGAATGGAGGGCTTTCTGTCTAGATGTCATTTTTATTTCCTGGCAGAGGGGAAATACTTTCCACTTTGATTATGTAACGCTGCTCTCTGACACGTTTATTTGTATGGTAACATCACATTTCTGGGTTGCTTTTTATTGCTGATAGAATTGGACTTTTAAATCAAGGTCAAACGAATGTTTAAATCTTGTATGAAACTTCTTGCCAGATTGCACAACGCAAAGGCATGTTGCTTTGCAATCAGTGGTGTAGTCAAGTCCTTCTGTTAGGCGGGGTTCTTCTATGTGGCAGGTGCACATTCACCATGGAGCTTAAAACTTCAAATAAATCTTTTGGTCTTCCTCTACCTTGTGTAAAAGGAAAGGTGCTCTTCACCCCAGCTTTGGCAGGTGACTCCCTGTAGCGTGAGGTAGATCAGCATTTCTTTCCAGCATGCTACACAGTAAGTTGGAGGACTGTGTTTGGATAGAAGGCCATAGTAGTGAAAGATGTATTTGTAACTAGCTGAAGAGTTGCAACACTTAACAGGTGAAGAGAGGGAAGAGTTTGGGGGTGAGGAAGTGCATCTTCTGCCTTCTCCCTCCTTTAATCTCAGCTCCTCTCTGTACTATCCCCAGCACGGAGATAAACAGCATGTAATTCCGGTTGTGCTTTTGTACCTCTGGACAAAATTTTCTCTTGATCTAGATGAGCATCAGAGCAGGTGCTGTAGTTTCAGGCTGCATCAGAGCAGTCAGCAGCACAGTGAGGCAGCTGAATTTCTTTGAGCTGGGTGAACGATGGAGTAACTGTTGAGGTTTGGAGCACTGTCTGTGGAGCTAACCTGGACTTTTTTCTTCCTCCCAGTGGCTCTGTAGTGTTGTTGCGCTCCAGTGCAGCATATTGAAACATTTATCTGCTAAGCAGATGACTTTGCTTTGGGACTCTGAACAAACAGAGAAGGCTGATATTAAGCCTGTTATTGTGGCAGACGGCTCACTCGCCAACCCTTACCAGGCAGCTGACAAGGCACCCACACCTTCCCTCTATTCCATGTCATCCTGCACCTCAGGGATTACCACCCAGAATTCCTTGAGCTCCTCGCAATCCCAGCAGACTTTGTCACAGGAAGATGTCAACTGCAGCTCTTGTATAGATAAATCCAAGAAGGTGTCTTCTTGCGGGACTTCGAATGGGCCGACAGCCTCTGACATTAAAGTAAATGGTCCTCATTTCTATGGCGTTTCATCTGAATCTTCAGCACAGTTGACTGACTCCCAGAGGCTAATCGGATCTGGTAACACAATACCTGTTTTGTCTCATCGGCAAACGTGGCCTCGGCCCCTCACGCCCCCAGCGACTTGCGGACTTCTGAATCACACCATTGGAACCATTGTCAAAACAGAGAACGTAGCAGGACCCGTTTCTTGTGCACAAAGGGGTTCTGTGCCGGTCACAAGTATGCCTACGTCCATATCGAGCTCCTGTGCCAGCCTGGAGACCACCAGCACTTTGCAAAAGAAGAATGTGCAGACACAGATAGGACCGCCGCTGACGGCAGACCTGCGATCTATGGGCTCCCCTCTGACTGCCACGAGGGCTCTCACCCCACCGCAGGCTGCTGGAGATGGGATCTCTGCTGTTGGGTCCACAAACAGATTCTGTTCACCAGCACCACCTTCAGGTACGTGCCAAACAGCTGATCTCGGCCCCCGGGGCTAAGAGAGTGTTCAGGCTAAATGTTATTCTGAACCTCAAGGGTTTAGCAGTATGCCCTCATCTAACTGGGAACCAGGCTTTCTGTGGAGAGCTGCGAGAAGTTTCTCAAGTCTCCTCTGTCTTAGGTCCCTCCACGAGAGCCACAGGATGTATTTTTGCTGGCTGTTTATACCTGAGAGGGGAACTCTGTCCTGAGAAGCAGGATAATAGATCAGTTTAATTCTGGAAAGCAACAGTGGTTTTAAATCAGTTGGCTGCTGTCTCGCTGTTTCAACAACTGGCCACTCCAGTGCTGCTTTAAAACTACCGATTTGTTTTAAAGCACTAGTTTGACTGCAAGGTAGTCCTTCTCACAAGAGCAGCTGTCTGGCATCTGATCCTATGATCTCTGTACACGGTAACAGTTCTGGTGATGGTTGTGTCCCCTAGTACAGACGTGTTTGAAGTCCAGCTGCACAGCCTTGATGTTAGAGAAATGCGGACTTGGGAACCTGTAGTCTGTTTAGTATCTGCTGGTCTGTTAATACAGGGTAGTTATGGACTTGGATATACCATCTCTGTCCTGAGTTGTACCCAAAAAATTTGCTGTTAAAGTGTATATACCCATTCTTCAGTATAAAAATATCAAATCAAAGATGTTGATAGATGGTGAAGTCAGAGTAACTGCCCATAACTCAAATTCTGCTAGAATAAGCTTTCACTTAAAGCATTCTTCTTCTCTTCCCTTCCCCCACACCAGCTCAACACTCAAAGCTAGTAAACCCTTTGTGCAGGCTGGGTTGAAGCAGTTGCTGAAAAGCACACGATGAGCTGTCTGTCACTTCTCTTGCAGTTCCTAGCTGCTCTGTGGCAGGCTTGTGTAGATGGCTCAGATCTGGTGATTGCAAGCAACAGAGGCAACATCTTTTTATTGTTCTTGTTAAAATTCCTTAATGAATAACTTCTGAGCTTTACCTCGTGTTTGGAAGCAGTCCTCAGAGTACTTGGCCTCCTTGCTTATTGCTGAACAAACTTGGTTACTCCAAGGCTGCTAGTTTGACCATGCCCTACTTAGAAATGCAAGGCTGGGAGAAGTTTTGGTAGCGGAAATGAGACCATACTATAGAAAACTTCTTGCTTGTGGTTTGAAGAGCACTACAAATTCTACGTAATTTTGCAGTTACTTAAGATGTTAAATAATTGCTTTCGGTGCAAAGCTTGCATTCTACAAAATACATATTAAAGCATCATTTTGGTGTAGTGTCTCTTGGGAAAGGTGTAAATATTTAGATGTTCCATCTAACATGATACTTGTATATATTTATAACAAATCTTAAATTACAGTGTACAAATTCTCTTGCCAAGTACAAAAATACACATCATTCCTGTCTTTTTTATTGCCATAAATTTCAGGCATATAGTAGTTCTACTTTTAAGCAAACCAACTCAAGATCTGGTATCAACAATGCATTAAAGGGATTTTGTTTCCTGGCATTTGCCATTGCCTCTTTCAGCTTGCATGGCCACTGCCAAAGCAGTAGGATTTTATTTTGTAAATAATAAAATCTGCTTATGACTGTCAAATTCTTATTGGGCAGTGAAGTACACCCCAGACTTTATAATCATGCAGAAATAAAAATGTGGCAATTGTACTTTTTATGCATGTTCAGACCTAGACAAGCTACTTCGCAAATGTCTCTAGGTTTAACAAGCTCTTCAAGCTCCTGGGGACTTGGTGCTCATCTTTCCAGTCTGTGTAGGACATCGCTTACAGCCCATCATTGCTGCTGCTTCGAACAGGGAGTAGGAGCTTAAATGTATAGGTCCAGAATTCCTCCGACAACTGGAGGTGAGAGGCAGAAGCCGGCAGTTGGCTCTGTGTTGAAGGCACACACTAGTTCTTCTGTGAGGAGAAGAAAGCTAATGGCTTCTAGTTCAGGCCTTTTTCGAAGCATGACTATGAGCAAAATTAATCATTCTGAGCAGCTTGGAAGCAAAGTGCAGCCTGAGGGCTGCGTGCATGTCTCACGAACGTCACAGTGACATATCTTCTCTGCACCATCTTTCTCTGTAGATGGTAAGGTCAGTCCCAGCACCTTATCCATAGGAAGCGCTTTAACTCTACCCTCATCACTCACTTCAAACTCTGCAGCTATGTTGGACCTCACCAGTTCCCTGAAAGCATTTATGGATGGCGGTGAGTATTTAGTTCATTATCAGTCTCTACTAGCTCTGTGTGTTTTGCTTCCCTAAAGCATTCTGTCTCTGCTTAAGGAAAAGTTCCAGAGATAAAGAAGGGTTGCAGTCAGGTGAGGGCAGGGCTGGGTATACATTACCTTAAATATGTCACATGCTTCCCTACTTGTAATGTTGCCAAGGCAGCAAGGCCAATGAAGTGTTTCTGCCTGAAGCTTTTCTGGGGAACGATCATGGGCTGCTTTCCAGGTGGAATTCACATGCATAAACCTGCAGCCCTGCCATGTTGTGGTGCTAGCTGCAATCCAGAGCTGCTCCCGACGGGCGTAAAGTCTTGTAGTCGAGCAGTCACCTGACTGGTGATGCTCTAATGGATTAGTTAATTTTCTGATTTATTTCTGCCTCTGTCGGTCTTCTCCTAGACAGGCCCATTTTTTATTTTCCTTTTGTTGCACTTGGCAAGAAATGCCAGACCTTAGTGGAGTGACTTCAGGAGGAGGAGATTGCTGAACAGCAGTCATCAGTAGCATAGCAAGGCTGTCGCCAGAGATGACTTCTACATCTGAAGAACAGCCTTTCTGGTGTTGCCTGTGTGACCCTCTTTTCTTGGGTGAAGCCCGACTGCTCAGCCTGCCCAGGCTACCTCTCTGCTATTGGGGAAAGGCCGTTACAGCTCTGCTGCTTCTGCTTGCCCTTTTAAATGTCGTTGATGTGGAGAAAGCTCTTGGAAGAAGAGGTTAGCCAGCCTGCTTGCTGCCAGAAAGCAGACCTCTGTAGGGCTTTACAAATACAAACACTTAAAAGCTATCAGCAACAGATCTGCTTTAAAGCTCATTAATAATATTGTCTGAATTGCCCTGCTTGGTTTAATTGACCCTGCTACGAAAGCGCGTGACTCAGGAATGAGCCTGTAGCAGCTTCAAAGGTGGTTACAGCTTTCCTCTGTAATGTAGGGTTAGACTTTCTAACTAGGTAATGGAGCTTCACAAGAAGGACCCAACCTGCTACCCAAAGGGGCGTGATGTCTACCTCTGCAGACCTGTTGATTCTGAGCCAAACCAGCAGATTTTCAACTTTAATCAGTCCTTGTTCCCCTAAACTTCTGCTTGCTGCCTCAGTTGCAGCTCTGTGGCCATCGCTGGCACTCTCCTCGCATGCTGCTCATGGGAGATGATATGAAGTAATAGATCACCTATATGTAAGATTCTTGATAACTGCAAAATTTGTCAAGTCTTTGCTGTTGAAGCAAATGGCAAGTTTGAAAGTGGGACAGTTAAATCCACTGCAGCTCAGATTGCACCCTTTCCATGAATAACTTACTAATTGCTTTTTGTTTATTAACAGAGATTGAGATAAATATGCTGGATGAGCAGGTGATCAAGTTTCTGGCCTTGCAGAGAATACATCAGCTCTTTCCTTCCAAAGCTCAGTCTCTAGCGAGCAGTGTCAGTTCCCATCAGCAATCTCCTGTGGGAAACCACATTGAAGGTAAGAGCAGCCCTAGAATAGTTGGTTTGTGTTGAGCCGTAGCTTTTTGGCACTCCCTTGCCTGTTCTTTGAAGGAGATCTCCCTCTTCTTCTGGTATCTGTCTGATGCTGCCTTTCATGTTTCTTTCCTCTCATCCCCCCCCACTCTGGATACCCACTGGCCAGAAACTCCTTCAGGTCCCTCTACTTAATTATTTACAAATTATGCCAATGAAAACGCCTTCAGTAACTTCTGATTTTCTGCTGGAAATCTTTAGTGAAGTTGTGTTTTATTCATCTTGGAATTTGCAAGAGATGGGAAGGTTCAGCTGCTTTTGTTTTTTCCCCTCCCCTTTGAGATGGGCAAGAGAATTATGTGAATTCCTGCTCTCTCTTTCTGGAGAAGTTGCTTGTGACACAAGCAAATGAACAGGAGGAACTGGGGCACAGAATATATGTGTGATGTTGTCATTGCCTGTTGAGAATAATGTCACTGTCAAGCTGAAACACTAAATACAACTAATGCAAATAATGGAAAACAACTTGCACTTCTGCTGGAAATCTCCAGATTCCTGAGTTCAGCATGGGCCTTGTTTATGGTCACTGGTATTGGCATGCTAACACCTAAAGCTTCAGGGGAAGCATGGCTTCATGTTCCTCCGCATGCAGCCAGGCCATTTAATCTGCTTTCAAGCACTAGCTGGACAGCCTTGTTGTGGGAGCAGTTGTCTGCTCCTCCTTCACTAAGCCTGGGGGTAAATATCTAAGATAAGATCTTTGGAAGTCTGCTAGCTGTCAGTAACCTTCTTCTGAGACTCTATGCTTGCCTGCTTGCTTGCTGCTGTAGCATCACAGCATTCTCTAAATGCTTTGTCAATCTTCTTTTGAACACTGCTGTAGGACACAGCACCAGGCTGTGACATGAGCTGCGTTCCTGTGCTGCTCGTAACAGACGAGTTCTGGAAATTCTTCAGCAGTCTGCCTTTCAAAAGGCAGATTGATGCTGTTTTAACCCATCACCCTTTTTGGGCAGGAATGATGCATCCAGCTGACTGTTTAGCATTGCTGATGAAATATTAGATCCAAAGCCTTTAGTGAGCCCTGTTGACCGAGCAGAGCCAAACAGCTGAAAGGACTTGTGCTGGGCAGCTGGGCAGAGGTGGGAACCTGCACGTTTCAGCTGCGTTGAGTGCTGCACGTCCAGTGATGCCACTCAGCGTGGCCAATGTTCTTGATGTAGGTGACTCTGCAAACAGTCTCTCGTAATCCTCATGTTCTGTTCTTTGATTTCACACTCCTGCTGTAAAACTGTCATGCAGATGTGGTACCAGGAGGGGCCTAAACTCTGCATTTAAGCAGCTTATTTTCAAAAGACAGCTGCAGAAATCCTAGCTAGGCCTCTGTGGTCCAGAGTTTGATACCTGTTCCACAGGAGATGGTTTTCTGCCCAGTTAATGTGGGCACATGAGAATGTGTGATTTGGACTTGGCTGCTGGGGAGCTGCTCTGGAGGCTCAGCCCTGGCGTAGCTGTTGTCCAGTGTGCCGTAGGGACCGACCTGAGGGTAAAGGAGTCCACTTGGTAAATCATCCTGTCCTGGGAGCTGGGTTTGTCCCTGGACAAGCCCAAGCCCTGTTCCACCGGTTTGGTTTTCCTGCAGCTTCACTAGAAGTGAAATTGCAGTTGTTAAGTTGGTAACATTCACCAGCACCAATTTTTTTTAAGTGGCACTTTGACAGCAAGACTCAGCTCTTTGATTACCCAAAGTGGACGAGATTAAGAAAGAAGCTAGTGGTAGGAGGCTTGTGTTTTCCTCAGTGTGGCTCCATTGTGCACACTCAGTATTAAAACTCCCCCAATTGCATGGCTTGTGTGGGTTACTGGAGAGAGCAATTTTCTCTGATGACTGGCAAAAAGATGTTTAACGCACAAACATTCCTAGAGGGTTGGGAATTGGAGTTGAGGCCAAAGCTGACTGCATCCTTCCTAGGATCTGTGCTTTCTGGAGGGTAGCGCTGTGGGCACTGGGGTCAAGCAGCCTTCGTAGCTGATAACATTGTTCAAGTAATTTCTTTTTATCTTGCAGCGCAAAGAAAGGAAGTACAAGCCCGGGCGGTGTTCTATCCTCTCATGGGCTTAGGGGGTGCAGTCAATATGTGCTATCGAACCCTCTACATTGGGACAGGTGAGTAGCTTTTTCTGCCTTGACCTTTCAGAATCAGGGTGGTTCTCCCTGGCCCTCCCTAAGCATTTGCCAAGTGGGTATTGAAGAAAACAGACACATTGTGGCTGCTTGTACTGGGATTCTTCTACCAAGAAATGTGGAAATTCCCCCTCAGCTTGAATCTTTGTGGGGTTGCACCTTTGTAACCCGGCTGGTATCAAAATTAGCGGAATGGCTGTGCTGTAGATTTAATGCCTTACTGAGGGAGAGAAGAGTCACAGTTTGCTTGCAGGTTTCATTTCTTTCTGCCAGATTCTTCTGATGCTCCGGATAGACCCGGTAACTGTGAAATGCTCTTCAACCTTCATGGAGCTGCTAGCCTTCCCTTCCCCCACTGAAACTTTGTTCAGTGGCTTATCGCAGCATTATTCATGCAGTCCTGGGAGCTTGAACAAAGGCAGTTGCTCCCCTGTTGTTTTGCTAATTGAAGTTTAATTCTGTCTGTTGTTCTCTGCTGCCTGACAGTTTTTTCTGAAATGAACTGAGCCTGTTTTGTCCTCCCCATTGACAGGAGCTGATATGGATGTGTGCCTTACAAGCTATGGTCACTGTAACTATGTGTCTGGCAAACATGCCTGCATATTCTATGATGAGGTGAGTGCCTGAGTGTTTTGGGTTTGGGGGGGGGGGGGGGGTGGGTTGGGGGGTTTTTTTTTTAATTTTTATTATTTGGCATGCATGGCAGTGGGAGCTGGAGATGCAGGCAGCAGGTTGTCTTTGTGTGGTGCTCCTTTGTGGACTACAAAGTAAGAGCCAGGGCTGTGAATGGTTTCACTCCAGTGAAGGCTGCGTCAGCGTTTTCTGTCAAACCCTTTTCTGAAGCACAGAGCTCTGCCAGCATGATTTCTCTGAGCTAACTGCTTGTGGACAAAGACTGACCACAAGTAAGCACTGTCACTGCTGGTGTCTGGGGAAAGAGAAAGTCGTAGAAATGGCTCGATACTTTTTGATCCAGCTGCGTTGTTAATAAAAGCTAAACTTTACATGTCGACATTGAACCTCAGCTGGAACAAAACAGGGAACTGCTCTGAGTCTCTTGCTTTCAGGTGTGATGGTGGTGCAAAGCGTTCATGCCATCTGTATTTTATTTATACTCTGTATAAATTATTTATGTAGCTAAAATTTCAGTTAAGCTCTCAGCATAAACACAGGTCTACAGTTGCTCCTTAACTACAGTCCAGAGATTAGTTTGTTCTTGAAGTAAATAGACTGGCAGGTCTGCCCATAAAAGCACTGCTGGGGATATCTCTGAGCATGGAAAAACAGTCTTTGAAGCAAGATAGTCTTTTATATCACCATTTGTCAACCAGCTATTGAGCAGGATCCAGGATTAACCCAGAGCCAGCTTTAGCCATTCCTCCAGTGCACTACAAGCTACAGAACACACTCAGTAATGGGACCCAGACCTTGAATCTGTGTTGAAGCATCTCCTTGCAGTGGTCAATGCTAAATCAGGCTCTAGGCACTGAACTTCTTCCATACTCCAGCAGGCCTCCTATGGCTGTGGTCACTCTAGAGGGCGAATTCCCCCTCCTTAGCTCTGTCTGCTGTTTCTGCTTCTGGGCATGGGCAGCTGAGGCTTGGCCTTAGTCTCTGCAGTCTAGCAAGCTACTTGAAAACTTACTCCCCTGTGCATGGGGAATTTTTGTAACTTGATTAATGCTCTGTAGTTCCTGGGGGACAAGGTCTTCAGCCCTCAGATGATTCCTATGAGCTAACCTGAAATCTCCTTCACTCTGTCAACATCCTCTGCAAAGCTCAGTTGAGTGTGACGCTGCTTGTGTAATGCTTTGTGTCATGGTAATGTCTCTTGGCATTTCAGCATCTGCAAAAGGCCTGTAAATCCCAGACTGTCTCTTACCTTGTGGCTGCTGCAGCGCACTGGCATCCCTCTTGCCATCCTGTGTCTGCTTTCCAAAGCACACCTCTTCCCTGCTAGGCGCAGGTCTTGGGCCAAGTTTGCATCTAGTGTGCCTGTTAAAATGGTGTGCTCACTTTGTGAGAATCAGCTTGAATCCCTGTTTCCAAAAGATCTGTCGGTCCAAGTGCAGTAGGTAAAACCCACTTCTTTTCTAAGCTACTTCGGCCCTCCTTTCCTGCCGGGAAGCAGCTCTTACTGGGGAAAGCCAGCTCTTCTGTGAGCATGAGCCATGCGCGAGGGTCAGGTTGGTGGTCTCTGAAGCTGGAGCATATTTAACTGCTCTTATTTAACCATCGACAGTGGAGTGCTCCAAAGAGACACACGGGCAGAAGCCCTTCTGATGTGATGTCTTGATTCCCTCCTCCCTTTTTTTTCAGAATACGAAACATTACGAGCTGTTGAACTACAGTGAGCATGGGACGACCGTGGACAACGTTCTGTATTCGTGTGACTTCTCGGAGAAGATGACTCCCACTCCTCCCAGCAGTATTGTTGCCAAAGTGCAGAGTGTGATAAGTGAGTGTTGAGACAGCACCAGCCTCACGTAACACCACAGGGAGCTATTAGAGGGGGACAGGAGCGGGTGCAAATCGATTCCTTGTTGGTGCACCCCTTGCAAAAAAGGGAGGCTCTCCACTGGCCTCAGCCTGGGTTACACAAGACCTTCCTCTGCAGGCCTAGGGAGTGCCTCAGCCTGCAGAGTGCTCTGCTGTTAACCCCTACTAACTCCTGCCCGTGGTGCTGGAGTTAACCAAGCTCCAGGTCCCTGCCTGATGTCAGCTCTGGCTGATGAACTCCAGTTCAGAGCTGGACTGAGGAGTTTTCCCATGCACGTCCTCCCCTCCCACGCTGTGAGTAAGCTATCTGGGCTGTGCTACAGGCATCCCATCCCTGCATGGCTTACTCCTGCTCTCCACCTGATTGGTTTCCTCTTTTTTTGTTGGTTTTTTTTTTTTGTTTGGCTGCCAATCCTGTTTCCCTTCTATCAGGTGCTCACTGCAGACAACTGAAATGCCTCGTGGCTGGAGGATCTTACCCCCGAGGCACCTCAGCAGTAGCCCCTGTTGATGAAAACAAGCTGCCTGCCCAAATCTTACGTGTGTTTTTAATTTTCCAGAACGACATAAAAGCAGAAAACAAGAAGAGGAGCCGCATGAAGAAGCTGCTGTGATGAATTCGCAGGCACAAGGGCAGCATCGGAAACCCTGTAACTGCAAAGCCAGCAGCTCTAGCTTAATAGGGGGCAGCGGGGCTGGCTGGGAGGGGACAGCCCTGCTCCACCACGGCAGTTACATCAAGCTGGGCTGCCTGCAGTTTGTTTTCAGCATTACCGAATTTGCGACCAAACAGCCCAAGGGGGACACTGCCTTAGTACAAGACATGGACTTGGAGGAGAAGCTTTCTCTGAAACCCCACCAGGTGCCCGTGCTGCGGTCCAACTCAGTTCCCTAGGAATTTTAGGAAGAGAGCTTTGGAGTAAAGAAAACACCCTCAGACTCTTGCAATGCAAAAATGTACAAACCGAGGTGGGATTTTCTGTGTCGGCCCAGAGACTGTTCACACGCCGTTTGCATGAAATGAAGAACGTTTAACTTTTTTTAATTTTTCTTTTTTGCTCAAGTTTTAGGGGCATTTGCACATATATTTGTACTATACATTTCATTTTAAAAGGAAAACTGCAGTGAGAGCAGGACGCGTCAGAGCGAGGGGCGACCGCTGTCTGACTCGAGGACTCTCTCTGACAGATAGTTCCCATGCAGTTGTAAAATAATCAGAAACTTGTTCTATTTTGTGCCAGTGACAATAGTTTTATATTAAAAGAGAAATACAGTTTTCATACAGCAAATCTATACAATATCATTGTTTTATTTAATGTAAAGAAGCGCTCTTCTTCCCACAGTTATTTTTCCCATCCCTCCCTGCTATGGTTGCACTACAAGTAGCTACTGTGTATTATGGGCAGTGAGAAATGAGTTCTTTTCCTGGTGTCCATCCTATTTTTATTTCAAATAAGGAAAAGTGTTGGATTCTGTGTAAATACATCAGTGATGGCATTTTTCAATGTTTTAAAGCTGTGTACAGTGCTACATGTGGTATGACGTTCCTCAAATTGTCTATTGTAGCAGATCGTTTGTCGTAACCTGTCTGTCTCTTTTGTTTATATGCCACCTCCCCGCAGCAGAACAGCTAGTTCCACTGTACATAGTAATTGTAACGTTTTAGACTTTACAGAAACTTTCCTGTATTCTGTATATAAAAAAAAAATACTTCACATTCTGTTTTCTGACTGTCTGTCTTAACTCTTGTCACCACAACCTGGACCTTCCCCAGAGTGTCTGACCGCAGAAGAGGAGCCTCAGCTGCGGAAAGGGGCTGTGCCTGGGCGGAAGCAGCCTGATGTGTCCTGTGTGGGCATGTGGGATGATGCTGGTGGTCCAGGATGGGGACGGGAAGGTTGTAGAATGGTTTGGGTCGGAAGGGACCTTTGCAGGTCATCTGCAGTGAGCAGGGCCATCTTCAACTCGATCAGGTCCAACCTGACCTTGAGTATTTCCAGGGATGGAGCATCTACCACCTCTCTGGGCAAGAGAGGTGGGGTCTGGCTCTAGGGGTGACAGCATGCACCCCTCGCCCTCTCCCTTAGGGCATTGTGCTGTGCAGCAGCTGCCTCTCGCTGCTCAAGGTTTGCAGCAGAGGAGGCAGCTTGAGGTTTGCAGGCAGGCGGCCTCGTCCTCTCCCCATCTCACCTCCCTCTGCTGCCACCCGGGGCTGCACGAATCCGTCTCATCCTGCAGAAAACGGCCGGGTTTTTTTTGTTTTGGGTTTTTTTTTTTTTTTTGCAAACCCGGTCCCGATAACCCCACGCTTCCCTTGCGAAAGAACTCGCCTCGGCCCCTGCCCTCCGTCCTTCCCCCCGCCCCGGGGGAGGCGGAGGCCGGTTGCCGGGGCGGGGCGGGACACCGAGGCGACGGCGGCGGTCGTAGTACCCGGTAAAACGGCGGCGGGATGGGGTGGACGCTGCTGGGTGCCGGGTTGCTGCTGGCCCTCTACACGCTGCTCCGCCACGGGCTGCGCCGCTCCCCGCCGCTCCGCGACCGCCCCGAGCTCCGCGGCCGCACCGCCATCGTCACCGGTGAGCGCCGGGAACGAACGGCCCCGGGAAGGAAGGAAGGAAGGAAGGAAGGAAGGAAGGAAGGGAGGAAGGGCCCGGCCCCGCGCTCACCGTTACGCGCTCTGTTCCCGCTCCGCAGGGGGAAGCAGCGGCATCGGGGCGGCCACGGCGCTGGAGCTGGCCCGCTGCGGGGCCCGCGTCGTCCTGGCCACCCGCAACGCCCCGCGGGGGGAGGCCGCCGCCCGCCGCATCCGCACGGTGAGGGCAGCGGCACCGGCACACACACCCCCCGCCTCCTCCCGGGACAGCCCCGTGGCACGTCCCCGGGTACCCTCGGGGGGCAACCTTGGGTGACTCCGGGCGCTCCCGTGGGACATCCCTGGGTGTCGTATGGGCAGCCCCAGGACACCCCCGTGGGCACCCCGAGGAGACCCCCATGGCACATCCCGGGGACAACCCCCAGGACACCCCTGGGCACACCATGGGACATCCATGGACATCACATGGGCACCCTCAGGGGACCCCCAGCAGACCCACATGGCACACCTCAGGGACACCCCCATGAGACGTCCCTGGGCATCACATGGGGACCCCCAGGGGACCCCCAGGGGACCCCCAGCAGACCCACATGGCACACCCCAGGGACACCCCCAAGCACCCCGAGACACCAGCACCCTGTACCACGGGGGCTGCATGGACACCCCCAGCCCCAGCACAGGGCACCCCCCCATCACCACCACCCCCAGCCCACTGCAGCTCCCCCCTCCCTCACCCTGGGCCAGATCCAGTCCCCAGAGCATCCCCTCTACCCTCGGCCAGATCCAGCACCCGCACACCCCAAGGAAGCGTGCCCCCCACCCTGGGCCACCCCAGCCCTGTCCCAGCCTGTGCCATGCCTGCAGGAGACGGGGAACGCAGAGGTGCTCTTCATGCAGCTGGACCTGGCCAGCCTGCGCTCGGTGCGAGCCTTCGCCTCCGCCTTCCTGCGCCAGGAACCCCACCTGCACCTCCTCATCAACAACGCCGGTGAGCGCCGGGACCCCCGTCCCCCTTCCCCTTGCACCCCTGGATCACCCACCGTGGGTTGCCATCGCCTCCTTTGCAGGGGTGAGCGTCGGGGGCACGACGGAGGATGGTTTCAGCCTCCCCTTCCAGGTGAACCACCTTGGCCATTTCCTACTCACCCAGCTGCTGCTGGAGCGGCTGCAGAGCTGCGCGCCCAGCCGCGTGGTCATCGTTGCCTCCCGCGCCCACTGCGCCGGCCGCCTGCGCCCCAACACCCTGGGCCGGCCGCCCTCCGGGCTGTTTTCGGCTTTCCAGGACTACTGCGACAGCAAGCTGGCCAACGTGCTGCACGCCCGCGAGCTGGCCACGCACTTGCAGGGCACCCAGGTGACGTGCTACGCTGTGCACCCAGGTAGGGACCCGGCTCTGCAACCCGGAACTGGGGACGGTGGGACGGGGGTGGGCTCAGCGTCAGCATTTGCGTGGGGTGTTCTTTGCATGGGGTGTCCCTTTGTGCAGGGTGGGCTCTGCGTGGTGCGGGCTTTGCACAGGGCTGCCTTTGCACGGTGTTTTTGCACAGTGCAGCCTTCGCACAGAGAATTCCTGCATGTGGAGCATCCCCTCGCGCAGAGCGTCCTCTGCATGGTGTCTCCCTTTGCACGGAGCACAGCGCAACCTTTGCACGGCATCCCTTTGTGCGATGCCCTTTTCACAAGCGCGCCCTTTGCATGAAACATCCCTTTGCGTGGGGTGTCCCTTTGCTGGAGCATCCCTTCGCGCAGCGTCCCTGTGCACGTTGTGTCCCTTTGCACGAAGCGTCCCTTTGCACAGCGCACCCTTGCACAGAGCATACTTTTTTTGCATGGAGCACCGTGCACCCCTGAGCCGCGCGCCACCATCGCAAGGCCAGATGGGGCACAGGCAGCACCCCCGGGGAAGGCTGTGGCAAAGCTGCCCGTGCAAAGGCCACCCTGGCGCGGCCGCTTCCGTTTCTCGCAGCAGAACTGGCTCCCGCGTGGGCTCTTCCCCGCCGGGAGCCGGGATGCTCCACGGCCGCTTCCCCTCGCCCCAGGGTTCGTCAACACGGAGCTCTTCCGCCACACGCCGCTCTGGCTGAAGCCGCTCTTCCTGCCGCTGGCCTGGCTCTTCTTCCTCGACGCGGCCGAAGGCGCCCAGACCTCCCTCCACTGCGCCACGCAGGAGGGCCTCGAGCGTTTCAGCGGACGCTACTTCGCCGACTGCCGTCTGCAGGAACCGTGGCCGCCGGCCCGCGATGACCGGCTGGCCCGGGCGCTCTGGGAGGCCAGCGAGAGACTGGTGGGACTGGGGGGGCCCGGGGAGAACCCCTCGCTGGCCCCTGCTGCTGTCATACAATAAAAGTGACGGTGGCGAAAAGGGAGGGAGCCCCGGGTTGGGTGTGAAATGGAGCCTGAGGAGGAGGCAGAGGACGGTCCACGGGGGGGGGGGGAACCTGAGTGGGGGGCAGCGGCCATGTTTGTGGGGCTCTCGCGACGCAGCCGCCCCGCCTTGCTCACGCACGCACGCGGCGCCCAACATGGCGGCTGCGCGGGATGCTCGGCCCCGCCCTCGAGGTGAGGCGCGGCGCAAGCACTGACCTTCCCAACATGGCTGCGCCC